TTGCTTTATCAAATTTACGATTAAATTCAATTAAAAATTTGAATCCATGCTGCATGCCAACTCGCAATCGCTCTTACCAAGTGACGTCTTATGGCAATTTTTCTATTCTGGTCCATGATGACATTATCTAGATTAATTAGGTTCGCTGTTTAAATTAAATAGGTTCGAATTCTCGCAATACTGGCAGTTTTCAACTGTATCTGTTTTATGAAACATTCAATTAGGAATTCTAGTATCCAAGAAAATATACAGTAGCTACTTCTTTTTGTTTCTGTTGTGGTGGCCTTACTGTGTAAGATACAACATTGCGAGCATATGTGCGGCTCGCATTGACGTGTTTACGGTACTCAGTCTATATTGTTCGAATTATAGGCGATGAACTATTGGAATTATCAGTTCGAATTATCAGGGATGGGCCATACCATGACTGTGAGTTTCATCAAATAACTAGAGCGATTGTCGCTGCCTGAATTCATGTACAAATATTCTAAAAAAAATAGATCAGTACTCACTGCAGTGAGTGACAGAGAGCGCATTTTCTCGTGCATAAATCAGTCACGGATGGACGGACGGACATGCCGAGCACAATAGGGCCTTTTTCCATGAATGAGAAAATGCGCTATAAACATTAAATCACTGATCTAGGTTTATGCCTTTCAACAAATAAAACGCTATCACGATTAAAGTTTCAGTCACGACCTGGCTATCAGTGACATTCAAATTGCACGCTTATGGCGGGTGTTGATTTTAGCAAAAGAAATGTTCAATTCCAATGTTCTAATGTGACCAGTCGTAGTGAACGTTGTATGTGTTGCCCCCTCATGTCCTTGCGTGCGATAAGAGAAAGGTTCTGTCTGAGCATTTGTTCGGCGCCTGGAAGGTATTCACAATCAACCCACAACGCATTGTTGAAGTCAAGAGGTAATTACTATATATCCTACAATTGCGTTTGGTTAGCAATGTGTTTTCAATGTGTCGTTAAATTTACTCGTATAATTTCCAATTTTGCTTCGTTTACACGCCATTTGTATTCATTTTTTTGCTGAACGGGAAGTGAAGAGTTACGTTTAGAAGCAAGTTGTCGTTTCGTGTTGAGTTCACTGTGAACCCAGCCGTCTCTGCAAGTTGCAGGTCGCGCTAGCCTCTCTTCCCTAAAATTGTTGTCGCCTGACGCTGTTTACGCCGGGATAACGAAACGTCGTGTCTTCTCAAACACACTCCTACCAATCTTTGACTCTTGCCGTCTCGGGTTGCGCCAGAAAACAAACTGAAATTGCCTTGGTGAAGATTGCGCGAGTGCAAACATAAACTGGCGACTTGCGCCAGGGTTTTTCTTCCACTTCGTTCGTGCTTGAGAAAATCTCTAATTTTTTACTGGCTAATGAAACGGTAATTATTGCCTAGCTCGCTAATTGGTGTGTGTCCTGCGTTTGAATTTGACCGTCCTAGGAGCTAATGTGTCAGCCGCGGCCATTCATTTGATTAGCGGTTTCTTCTTAGTAAGGTTTTTATTTAGGTGGTTGTGGTTTAAATAACACTATTTTGCACAAATTCGACAAATTGTGCAAAATAAAACTTGTGCACAATTGCGACATTATGCATTACAGCAATTTCGACTTAGTGTTCTGGACTGAATTTCATGTAATATGGAAATCAGTCACTTCATTGAAATATTAATTTAATTATTCTTCACCACATGCACTCACTTATTCAGTCTTATAGCTAATAAAAAATGCTTATCGTTAGATGTTTGTTGAGCAAGCAGAATTTTCCGGCGAAAATAAAAAAGATATGAACATAGTCAAACTAAATAAAACGTCCACCGAAAAGAATATTCACAATTAAAAGTAATTGTTGTACATATACACGCGACCATTTATGAGATATCTTCATGTAAAAATATTTTTGATGTTTCATCTTATCACCTCACCCAACGAAACCTCTTCCAAATTTGTGCAACGGTCTACTTGATCGGAGTTGTCGAGTATAAAATTCTCAAATGATTAAAGCTTATATTCCGCACGGATCTGAAGATGTTATCTGCTGTGCCATTTATACCTTACAACTATTAAGAAAAAATAATCATGTATGACACTTCCGAGCTTATTTTCTGCATGGATCTGAAGATGTTATATGCTGAACCAGTTATACGTAACTTTCAAAAGATCTAGGGTATCCACTGTCCAGTGCAGTGGACAACATCAGGGATGAACTAGGAATGTAGCGAGTCCGGCGTGACGGTCTTGGAAGAAAGTTCCCGCGCGATGCGTGATGGCGAAAGTGTTCATGATAGATGAGAACGCAACACGCGTGATGTAACGACGCACGTCGGATTTTATGTGTATTGAACATTTGCTGCTACTAGATGTTCAATTCGTTCAGCTTTGTATTTTGAACTCTTAGGGGATTTTTGCGAGTCAATTAATCATTTTTCATGCAATGCGGCCTGATGATATTTAAACAAAGAAACGCCTTGCGATTTTCGACGGGCCACCTTTACCAAGCATCCAAGTTCTTCTTAATATTTATTCATATTTAGTTTGTATAATAATATATTTTGTTATTTTTTCACTCACAAGTTAATGAAATTTCTGAGTGGTAATATATTTTTATTACAAGTTACCGGGGGCTTAGTACAGCTTGTTTCATTAATTATTCTTTTTATGTTGTGGTCTCGCTATGAATTTCTAATATGTTTAAGTTTCTAATTATTATTTGAGGCAACAAGTACGGAGGTTTGTGGGCACTCTGGTCTGAGCTCGCATTACATGAAGATGGTCGTATGTTACGCTTACGGCTCTTAAGATCTTATCGTATTTTTCAAAAGTCGTTTTATGAGACATTTTTGGTGACAGTTCTAGTCCTCGTCTACCTCCTTTACGGCCAAAGTTGACGATTGAACTGTAATTTTAATTAGTAAAATTACTCCAAATTATGCAGTTTATTTTAAGTGTCCCTTTGAACTTAGAGATGAATTTCTTTCGGATGTGAAGTCGTGAGGGCTATAGGCTTGATAACTGCAAAACATGCGCATTTTTCTAAAAAAATTAATAATGATAATAATAATGTCTTCTTTTCATGGAATGGTCGTCGCTGGAGAATATGTATATTTATGCAAGATCATCCGGCATGAAAAAAGAATCGCGACTTGATATCCATATTAGGTTTATATTCTGTAATAATAATAATAAAATTATAGTAATAATTATAATATAATAATAATAATTTGACCATGAGAAGATTATAAATTTCTTGATAATTCCGTCAGGCCTGAAAAACTTGACTCACCGATTGTAAATTGGCCTGAATAACGGTGATTTTCTCGAGTTATGATTTTCGGAAACGGGTGCAAAACAAATAATATGCGTTTAAAAATTAATTTTTAAAGAAAACACATCCAAAGAATCCAGTGTCTCTAATCTCACAAATGTACAACGAATTTCTCATTTAATTTTCAAATTAAAAATTTAGTTTTTCAATTTTTTTTAATATATAAATTTTTTAATATATAATTTTTTCAAAATTATTTATTCTGTTTAGAAGTGTATTAAATTTCGATTACAAGATTTGTAGCAGACAGACAGACAGACAGACAGACAAGAAGTGAAGTTAAAGAGAAGTGTTGTAAAAAGATGTCATTCATGAGGAACAATATGTTCTTGTAAGAACATTCCATCTACGCGAGTTCATGATTGATGCGTTAGATGAAAAATAACAGATTTATGGGTTCAAGATTTTACTTGGTTTTTCGTATCAAGAGCACAAATTATTAAAAGTGAATCTTGTGCGGTGTGATTTCAATTTCTGAAAGGAATTTAATATAGTAAATAATATATTTATGAGTCATTGGTTTATAGTTACTCACCGTATCATTGTGCTATGAAGCATTAATCCGTTGCAACAGGCGACTCCTGAAACTTTTAGAAACTCATGTCTTGCCTTCTGTTTATATCTATTCATAACTTGGAAATTAGAAGTTTGATGCTTCTTCATTTCTAACAAACGTTTTTTATCATTTATTTAGAAGCGTGAGGCGTTTGCATTTCTACGAAACGTTTTTTATCGTGTGCTTATTCTTTAAAAAATAACACAGTTCATGAATAATCATATATTATTCATGAACTCTCTCTGATCTTCAATGAAACCTGCAATAATCATATATTATGACTATATTATATTATTATCATACATATACTCAGGTATAGTGTCTTGCTTGGCTCTTGAAGTCTTCGTATATTTGGCAGTGCCTCGTTGCGTCCGATTATATATATTTTTATATATTTATTCTTTATATATTTATATATATTTCTCTATCGCCGTATCCTAGCTTCGTGGCAGGGTCATGGTGTACTTAGGTACAGTGTCTTGCTTGGCTCTTGAAGTCTTCGTATACTTGGCAGTGCCTCGTTGCGTCCGATTAAGGGCTTCTTGTGACCTCCGAGTGCCGCGGCGTCACTCAGTGTCCGTCCAGCTGTGGAGCAGTGAGGGTGATGTGTCGTGCTGCTCGCTCGTTTTGTGATTCCAGGCGAGATTTGCTCTCTATCGTTGCTCTCGCCTCTGAGATGCCACCGCACGGTGCCAACTACGGGAGCTTAAGCCTTCTACTGCCCGTGACGTCCGCGTTCAGAAATAAATTAGCTATCGAAGCCATGAATATTCGTGTAGATGTTATGTGGTGTGCTAAATGTCCTTCATTAGACAAGACATTTTTTAGCACTGTTATCGTGAATTTAGTTGCGTGTACGATTGATAATTTTTTGATGCGATTTCTAATCATCTTGGAAAAGGGTCCATTTGTATTATTACTTTTTACAATAATTTGGTGCCATTTGCTCTTACTTGAGTATGAATTTGATATGTTTTCCAAAGTTTGTATAAAATTTTATTCTTAATGAAGGAAATTTTTATACTGATCATAATTCTCCTCATCTCTGGTAATAACACGAATTATTTATCGGATTTCACGATATTCAAGGTTACGAATTCTTTATTCCTTACAGATATTCCCGTGTTCTAACGTACAAATAGGTAATAAGATTGAAATTTTTTGTAGATTTCAAGGAATTTTTTATTGGTGTACCATTATTTTATAGTTTCAATACTGAATGATATCTTTTTATACTGCGTCTTGTGTGTTTTCTATGGGAGTGAATAATACATTTATAATAACTTCTTTATAAATTTTAGTTCAAATGACGAAGATAATTTTGTCATGCGTGCAACATCGCCTTTTGTAGGCATATGTATTTTATCCCATGAGGACGACAAATGCGTGAAGCTTCGATCAATCAAGTCTGTTTAGTGACGTTATTATCAGATGGTTAATTTGAAGTGCTGGGAGGGAAATGTGACTATTGATGCGCGGTGCGATTAATAATTGTGTGCAAGTGGTGAGACCGGTTTTCTGTAATTCGGCGAATTTCACTGGCTTGTCGTCATTCGCAGCTTTGATGATCGGCTGCTTGAATTAGATTTGAAATAGAAAATTCAATCCAGTAAATATATTATCCAAGCGTAGTTGTTGATTATTCTCTCAAAAATTAGTATTTGCGAGTATTTTTATTGCTTGCAAATTTGGTCCGATGAACCAAAGAGAGAAAAACATGAAGAACTCCACATCCTGGACTTCTCCGTGAGTAATATTTTGAGCTTCGTCTACGTTTTAGCGATATTAGTGCAAAAGTGAGTGCGATGAAACCCATCAGCTTCGAAATGCTGCGACGCCTGATGCGCGGGGGCCATCGCGACAGAGATGCAGAGTCATCACAAACATTCAAGCGATCTAACTCATTCAAGCGAGCCTCGTTCAGGAAATCCCTACACAAGCACGACAAGGTAACCTTGCCTAACGGCCTAGTTGTGAAAACTTCGGCTGTGCAGAGGAAAGAGTCATTGTCGAGCAGCGAGGAGCGTAAGGATGATGGATACTCGACGGACGGGGGGGAAACTCCCGCAGTGGCCTCCGGGTCTTCGAAAAATGGTCCAAAAGGAGTCATCTCGTACGGACAATGGGTGGCGGCGGCGTCGGCGGAGGACGAGTATCACAAGACGCCAACTGCTGATGATTCTTGCCCGTCTACCATGTCGACAAATAGGCTCTCTTCTCTGGACTCCGGTGTACGTCACTCCATGGGTTCCTGTAAAACGTACAGCGTCGAGTCCAACAAACGTCTCAGTTTGGACTACCGTCGTGTGATTGGGCTGGACCCAACGCATGCTCATCCTCGACCAGACCTATCGCGGTGTCCCGAGACTCCCAGTCGACGGAGTGTTGAGAGTAATTTCCGTCGATCCATTTCGACAGAAACTGCTCCTGCACCTCCCACGCGCCTCAAAAGTTTGCTGGGTTCTCCCAGAGTAGCTCCCAAGCACCGTGACCACTCGCCCTCTACTCCCTCTGGCATCAGCGCCTACAGTGTTCATGGCACGCCTAACCGCAACAGGGTTTTGTCCCAACCTATGTCGGCTCCGTCCACTCCTGGAAAACAAATCCAGCGCGTTCTCCAGCACCAGCGTCCGTCCCACACGCCCACTCACCAGCTCCGTTCGTCTCTCCACGACAAGGAGCGATTCTGTGCCGTCCATGGGTCGCCGGCTCTTCAACGCATCCAGAGGGAGAGCCGCAACCCCATCACTTCCCCTCAGCTCGTCAGAAGCCCCAAGCCCCTTAATAGATGGTCTGCCATGTTCTCTAACTCGATATTTACCAGATCCCCCGCGAGGAAAAGTCAAACACTCCAGGCAAGCCTCCACACCCAATTGTCTTCTGAAAATCTACATCATTCAAGCGTCGGTCCCATTCTAAATAATCCTTTACGCAAAGATCGCCTGCAACAGTCGCATCACCAAATTTATCAAACTGGGTTCGACTCCCCAGTCTTAATGCAACGTTCAGTTCAATCTTCTAACAACTCGCCGGCGATATTGCGTTCTCACACGGTGAAAAATACTTCGTCTGGTGCTCCAGTTCCCAATTGTCTCGACTCAAGGCTGGGTATTGCCCGAGCTATTGGAGGTCCAAGACCCCCTGAAGACAGCGTATTAGCATTCGGCGATAAAAACTCATGTTTGTACGAAAGCCCGCATGTTTTTAGACGTTCGCAAACCCCACAATGTTCCAATGCTCCCGTTATTCTTCGACAATCGAGTGCCCCATCTGCAGACGGTGATGCATCTGTTTTTGTTCGATCTCGACCCCTGTCTTCGCCTCCTCCTGGTCTCCCACCAGCGCCAAACTCCAGCCATGTTTTGAGCGAGCAGCCTCTCCTTAATTCCTCTCAATTTTATCCTGGTAAGCTCGCCTCGAGCAGCCTTGTATCAGGGCTGCCGTCAGTGTCAATCGTAGGAGGACGATCCATTTCGTCGGATCGTTCAAGTTACCTCAACGACAGCCACGATCGACCGACGCCCCCTTTACGAACTTTGTCGGCTGAGAGACCCTGGGCGCCTAGCAACTCCCGCTTATCTGTCACTACTTGGGGCAGGCCTTTTTCTTTAGCGCTTGGATGCGCTAAGGGAAAAGCGGATTTGCTCAGCCCCGCGAGCATGACGAGCGAAACTTCGAGCAGAAGTGACAGACGTCGACGAGGCCCGTCGTTGTTGGTGGGCAAAGCATCTTGGTTTACGCGAAACTCCCCCGCAAGAAAATCTTTTCGAGTTTCTAATAAAAATTTAAAAATGACCTTGGTTGAATTCACAGAAGAAGGGGAAGAGGCAGATCTGCCCCCACCTCCTCCCCCGAGGCCGGCGAGATTGATCCCTCCGGAGCAATACAAAAAACTACGAGAGGAAAGAAAATCCGTGGATTTAGATGAGCCTGTTTTCATCCCACCGCAGAAACGCAAGCCATCAACACCCGTTAAGTTCCCTATGTCTCTGTGGAGGAAAAATAATCCCTTACCTGAAATACGCACCACCACTCACACGGATCTTTTGATGCCTCTCAGCCAGTCGGGGGGCTCTAGAAACTTATTGGATAATAGGAACGAGAAAACAGCCTCCCTTATGCAAGCATTACTCCAGGATCAGACTAAGGAGCGAGACGATGACACGAGAGACACGAACAGCGAACCCGGTGGCGCTCGATTTAGTGTAACGCAAAAACACAAACCAAAATCCGTCCCTAATAGCACGCGCTTAAATATCAAATTAGCGAGAAATCCAGAAGCTCTCTTGAAGGCCTTAGGGTTCGATTCAAAGAAAAAAGGCAGAAAATCGTGCACTGATAAGAATGCTGGTGCTATGAGTGAACAAATAATAACGCAGTTGCTGCTTGAACAATTGTCTTCGGGAAAAGTTAATCAAAATATCGGTGGTGCTGAATCAAGTGCACCTGAAGGCTCTTTGCTTCAAGTTGCGCAAGGTCTCGAGTCCTGCGAGTCGCTATCTTCGCTCGTGTCGTCAGTGATAAGCTCACGTACGAGCAATAGCAGCAGATCGAAAAGAAAAGGCAAGAAAGTTCGACGAAGAAAGTCGAACAGAAGAGTACCGTCCGTGCCTGCCTATCCGTCATGGAAGAAGACAGCGCAGAAAGGAGTTGGAGCGACAGCGGCTGCTGCTCGACTGGAAAATGGTACGTTACGTCTTGCGTAAGTTTCCAGGTACACAACTTATTCAAACTTTCCTATGGATGAATCTCATCTGATATTCCTTGTTCATTTTGGAATTATGGAGTATAGTCGCAGCTATACTGATCGAAAATAGGATGTTCGATCCCTACCAAATCTCTGAAATACATACAATTTAGTTTATTATTTAGCGATACAATTTCGAACTCATAGAATTTTTATAATTCATCTATTCTACTTGTTTCTTTTAATTGTACGTAACATTAAAAATTGTTGGTTTCCTTTTTTGTATATCTATTTCTCTAATGAAATTGTATTTTCGAATCATGATATTTTATCGATAATGGTTCATATTAACATAAACGACGGCTATCATCGGAGCCATCATTCAGCGTCGAGCTAAACGACCGCATCCCGCCTCTCCCAATCGCAAAGCTCTATTGAGAACTTACCAAACTTTCGAACAACTTCTTTCATTTCTTAAGTGGACTTGATTACAGCGCCATGCTATAGCTGACAAGTTTCAAAATTGGTCTTTCATCGATCAACGACTCAAATGGTCGTTCAGAAGAAAATGTTACTATACACTGATGAACGTGTGAAAATTTGTAATGCCTTTCTAGGGTATTACAAACGATTCGTAATGAGACCTTGATCACTTTTATCATAAACTATTTTTTACACTCGCGTTAATTTAATGAGATTCGGATGACCTACCATGGGTCGTGAGTGGCGGACTGGTTTCATTTACCCCGTAGCAGGCACGACTAACCAACATAACGTGTTGGTAGTCAATTTTTTAGCGCATTTTCTCATTTATGGAAAAAATGCACTATTGTGCTATCCACGTCCGTCTGTCCGTCCGTGACTTCACACGTTTTCGTCGACGAGAAAATGCGCTCTCTGTCACTCACTGCAGTGTATTACCTAGTTATATTTTTTACCTTTTTTTGAAAGCTTAATACGTGTTGAAAGGTGCAGCTTTTAAGAGTAATACGTTACTGAGAGAAATAATTTTTTTTTCACGTGTGATTGCCATGTAGCGTTCAGCAGGACAAATCCTGACAGGATTTATTATTGTATCGTTGAACTTCATTTTGTCGTCAGCAAGCGTTGATTTGAAATAAATTTGACCACACTAAGTAATTTTACGTATGAATATTCTTAAATTTTATATTTCATCCGTCCGTCTCACGATTTTTTTTATTTCAAGCAAGCTATCTAACTATTGTGTTAATCCTATATTAATCTAGACATAGTTGCTGCAATTTAATTGCTGCCAATCCTTATGCTCTTGAAGTATAAGTTCTCTAGCCTGAGTACAATTAAAAGTAAATATACTCATTAGGGACTCACCGTACAAAAAAAAAAATAGATTATTTTGTATCAAAATATGACACACTCTCCCCCAATAGTGCGTGTTAGGGTGCAAAGAAATTACTGTTATAAAAGTTTTCTGGAACGTGATCGGAGCATGCTAACCTATATGTATTCGTACCAGAGGGAACTGCTAACTAAAGGTAAAATACCTGCTATTTTATTTTCTCCTATTTCGTCTCGTTATTTTCCTCGTGTGGACGTAATCCTGGACCGTGAAGTTCTTCACGTTTTGGCTCGTTTCCTTCTGTATACCTTTCCATTCATTGACAACTTTAATGTCAAAATGCATTTTCAATTGTCAAAGTGTCATTAAAATGCATTTTCAAGTGTCAGCATTCAAGCCTAGCAACTATCACATCCAGGTCAGAGCAAAACAACTTCTTGTTTAGTAAAAGAAAACTGATCAACAGATCCTGTCTCAGGAAAGTATTGCCCTAAGACTACTGGGAGGGATTTGATCTACACACGCAGCAGGCGTGAGGCGTTCCTCAAGCGCTTCATGAGGTCTACAGCTGTTGTAGGTTCGTTGCTTCAGCTGCTGTGTGTGCTGCTCAGGTGGATCTGTTGCTGCAGCTGCGCAGATTGGCATGCTTTGCATATGTATATTTTTCATTTTTTTGGGCCTTTATTGGAGCTTCAGGTTAACGCTCCGACATTGGTTGTTTTATGTGCAAAAATTTCGAGTACTTCACGTGACTGTAATACAATGGTCTGCACTCATTTTCAGTTTATGTAACGATGTTAAAAATATATTTCCGATAAGCAAAAACGAGAACAGGAAATACCATTTATTTGCCAATTTTGAATGTTAATTTTAATGTACGGTTAACCCAATCAGGAACCTCTTGTATTTGAAGTAATAAGTTTATAATTATATAGTTTTCTTATGGAAGACTAAGAGCTGCTGCTGGCCGTTTAACTGCTTCAAAAAATCATTTTGCCCTTATATTCTATTGGCCAGTTTAAATAAGCTGAGTTATCTAATAATTTTTCAGTTCAAACGATTAATTCCTCGCATACCCTTAGGAGGCTTTATTTTCGAATTCATGTTCTATGTATAATTTTTCGGTTCAACATGATCAGAAACAAGAAACTTGTTGCAGAATATTGAAGCTCATTTGTCTGAATTACTTTCTCAGAAATTACTTCTTCAAGCTGCTGAAGAATAATATTTTTCTACATTTTTTGTACGTTTGCTTGCAACCTCCACATATGCGGTGGTTGTCCATTAATTAATTCATAAATGTTAGCCACCATGTTTTTCTCATAAGCACTCAAATATGTTGGTAATTATTTTTTTCTAGAGCGCGCCTTCATAGATTCATTGTGAGGCGTAGCTGGAATTTACTTTTTTTCAGTTGACATTTTTTGCTGCGCCTGTCCTGTACTTGGGGCGCGACAAAGTTTTTGCAAATAATTGTATTAGCGAACAAATTTGCTCCATTAAAGTTTACAATTATAGAAATTCTTATTACTGGATAAATATTAGTTTTTACGTTATTCGTGTTACGCTGTAATTACGCATAGAAAAACATAGAACGTGTAGCTTAAAAATAGGTACAATTTCATTGTGAAAAGCTATTCTGTACAATTTTGCATTCCGAGGCGATGGAAAGGGCAAAATGTCAGATGGAATTACGTTGCAGCGTTTTAGACTGCCGGGACCCCGATTAAACGTAATTGAGTTTTGTGGGGACGTCAAGTGCATTTTTTGAAGTGTCCTGCTCGAATGAGTAGATGAATGTGTTTGTTTCAGGCTATTAAGTATTAACCCTCTACCGCGTGACATGAGTACCGTAATCGTAGCAATATAGTCACAACCCTACTTCCCAAAAAGGATACGTTCTAGTGAGCGCAAAATGACTTGCACTGATGGTTGTCGCCACGTACAACTTTAAAATGTTCTCTGTTGCCAAGAGTTCACCTATAATTTAAGTTGAAAGTTTGTTCCCGTAGAGTGACATACGGTGATGGAGGACTAAACGCGATATATTTCATTGAGAACAGCTTCGTAAAGGACTCAATGCTGTCTTAGCTATCATTACCACAAGTGTGTTCTCGCCAGTCACCGGCAAATGCTTTATTCGGATGTTCAAGTAAAAACATATGAATTTATATCAATTACAGGAAAATGAAATATGTATCTTAACGGCTTAGTCTTAGGCATAGAATATTTACTTACCGTTGTTTTGCGGTCTCAATATCTCAGTTTAGAATAATCATGGACTGTTTACTTTACATAGATGGTAATGATATTTTTTCTTTCTGAAAGTGCTATCATTCATCAAACCGAAAATACGTGAGCAATCTTGATGACCTTATAACTTTTTTGAAGTTTATATTGACATCATTTTCAATAGTTTATATCTAGTGCCTTTTTGGAATGTAATAATTAAATGGCATGCTTGGTTTAATTAAATGAGCAATTTAAGCAATTGGCGCTTTTTCGATGATGATTATCACACTCAATATAATATACATGCATGTAATAAATTACTATTGTAGAAATTGAAAAAAGGTAATCTTTTAGGAAGTGAGACAATTGTACGGCCTTCGGAACGCTATTTTTTTATGACGGTCGTCTGAAATAAGACTCTTTCAAGGCATGTACTAAATCAAAGTTTTTACATGCGAGGAAGATATTTTAGTATCCGAACTAAGAATGAAGCGTGGTTCTGTTTTGGGATACACTCGCCCCATTCAGGGCGAGTGTATCCCAAACAGAACGGTCATTCCATTCAATTGCTCGAGTGCAATGCGCGAAATGATAATTAAAGCATTTCAAAATAAATCAATAATCTGATATAAATTCAATCGAATTACGGGAAATTAGTTTAAATCCTGCCCCTAAATCTAACATAAATTAAATCCAATTGCAGGAAATTAGTTTAATTAAATCCTGCCCCTAAATTTAATATAAATTCAATCGAATTACGGCAAATTAGTTTAAATCCTGTCCCTAAATGTAATACGTATAAATTCATCGAATTACGGCAGATTAGTTTGATTCCTGCCCATAAATGTAATATAAATTCAATCGAATTACGGCAAATTAGTTTAAATTATGCCCCTAAATCTAATATAAATTCAATCGAATTACGGAAAATTAGTCTAAACCCTGCCTCTATTGAACACGATTAATTTTTACGAGACAAAAGAAAACTGATCTAAGCAGTGGCTGCATCACGTCTCAGTGCTGCAATGTCGTCGCGCGCGACCTTGGCTATAGCCTGGCCTCCCGGTGTCCATAAACCGGTTCCGCTGCCTGGTTCTGTCCAGTATTTATCATGTATTTTTTTGTGCGTGTCAGTCGGCTTGTATTGAACCTGATCTGCTCAGTGGCGCCCGCCTAGCGACGACTGTAGTGAATGAGTGGTCTCTCCTTGCTACATTCATTGCGCCCGCCTTGCTTTTTACTGCGATGTCTGTGTTTGCTTGGTGCATTTCATGCTTATATTGTTGAGCTCAGATACGACGCTGTTGCTCACTATCCGATTACATTCGGACATAATGACTTACAGAATTTTTTTTCACTTTGCGCTGCAAATCAATCATTTTTTCGGTATAATAAACGAATTTATGAATGTTTGGAATTTTACCAGTACGCTTGTAACTCCTTCACAGG